GAGTCTTGCATGAATTTATTTTAAGATATCCAGTTCTTTTGATTTCATACTTCTTTCAGAGCTTATTATTTCAACTGGTACACGTATGTAGGCTTTTCTTTGAGTATTTATCTAAGAGTGGAATTGCTATTAATAGATTGTAGAATGTGCATATTAACAACTTTATTACAAAATGCCAAAGCGTTTTCCAAAGGGATTATAGCAATTTACACTCTTGCTAGTTTTGTGTAAGAGTTTTCTTTACTCCACATCTTTACAAACAGATTGTAAAGACGTGAATAATGAAAACTCAAAGTTTTTGCCATTCTGATGGATGTGAAGTGATATTTATTGTGCTTGTATTTGCATTTCTGTGATTACCAATGAGGTTGAACATCTTTTCATATGTTTACTAGCAATTTGGATTAACATCTTTTTTGAACTATCTGTTCAAGTATTTTGTCCTTTTTTCTATGTATTTGTGGGAGTTCTTTATATATTCTGGATGGCGGTCCTTTAACAGTTGTATGTGTTACAAAAATCTTCTCCCACTCTGCAGCTTGTCTTTTCACTTTCTCTACAGTGCCTTTTGATGAGCAAGTTTTAATTATACTGTAGTCAAATTTATCAATCTTTTCCTGTAAGATTTGCAGTTTTTCTATTTTATTAAAAAAATCCTTCCCATCCATTCTATATCATCATCTATAAACTAAATAATTTTGCCTTTCACATTGTCTTCACTTCACTTGGAATTTATTTTTGTTCATGGGATGAGAGTAAGGATCAAATTTCATGGATTTTTTTTGCATATTAATAACCAAATATCTTAGCACTATTTGTTGATCTGTAGTACCTCCTTTTTCTTATCTCAGGTTTCATAAATGTGTGTATGTGTATGGTGGTTAACAGATTAAAGAAGTCCTCCTTGATTCTTGGTTTGCTAAGAGTTCGTAATCATAAATTTTGAATTTTATAAATTGTTCTGATTTTATTCATACAGTCATATTATTTTTTCCTCCATTCATTTGTTAATGTGCTGAATTGCATTAACTTATTTCCAACTATTAAATCATTCTTGCATTCCTAGAATAAATCCAATTTGGTTGTGATATATTATACATTTAACATTTTGGATTTGAATTGCTAATTGTTTAGTATTTTTAAGTTGCCTATGATATTCCTATATTATCCGTATAATGCTTATACTGTCTGTAGTAATGACTTCTCTTTCATTTTTGATATTGAAATTCGTATCTTCTCTCTTTTTGTCACGACCCAATCAAAGAACCAGCTTTTGGTTTCATTTATTTTCTCTGTGTTTTTGTTTTCTATTTCACTGATGTGTGTTCTTATACTTAGTATTCCCTCTTTATGCTTTCTTTTAGTTTCAGTTTTTTCTTTTTTTCCCTGGTTCTTAAGATGTAAACCTTAATCATTGATATGAAACCTTTCTTCTTTTCTAGTATTTAATGTTGTGAATTTCTAAGTATGCTTTATGTACCTCCCACATATATCAATACGTTGTGTTTTCATTTGCATTAAATTCAGATTATTTTCCAAATTTTCTTGAGATTTCTTCTTTGACCTGTGGGTTATTTAGAAGTGAATTGTTTACTTCCCAAATATTTGGAGGAATCTCCAGATATTTATCTTTTCTAATATGGACAAAGACCATGTTCCAATCGTTTCAAATATATTGAACCTATTGTATGGCCCATAATATGGTCTATCTTCATTAATGGTCCATGTGTACATGCATAAAGTATATTCTGCTGTTATTGGGTGGTGTGTTCTATAAATATCATTTAGATCAACTTGGCTGATAGTAGTATTAAAGTCTTCTATATAACTCTTGATTTTTAAAATACAGTAAGTCATCACATAATGTCCTTGACAGATTCTTGGAAACTGTGACTTTAAGTGATACGATGTATAACAAAACTAATTTTTTTCTTATCAATATTATAATGAAACAACAATGAAGGAAATGATGTTACTCTAGGATCTGCTATACATCATTTTCACTTAAAGGCATAGTTTCCAAGAACCTATTGTAGATGTTAAGTGAGAACTTACTGTATGTATATTCTGTCAATTAATGAGAGAAAGTGGTAAAATCTCTAAGTACAAAAACAACTTTTCTATTTTTCCTTTTAGATTTATCAGTTTTTCTCTACGTATTTTGAAGATCTATTTTTAAGTGTGTCTACATTTAGGATTGTTATGTCTTTTTCATAAATTAACCTTCTTAAGTCTTATTCAATGTCCACTTTTATCCCTGGTAATCTTTCCTGCTATAATGTCTTATTTTTTTCTGGTACTGATATAGCCACTCTACCTTTCTTTTTGTTAGTGTTTGCATGGTATATCTTTTTCCATATTTTTACTTTTCACTTATTCATGTCTCCATCATTTAACACATACTGTGTACCTTTTCCACGAGATCCTTTAATGTATTAATCATAGTTATTTTAAAATCCTTGTCAGATGGTTTCAACACCTGACTCATCTCTCGGTCTGGTTCTGCTGACTTCTTAGCTCCTTCAATGATCCATCTTCATTATTGCTTTTTACTGTATTATAATTTTAAAATCAAATGCTGGACATTGTATATAAAAGAGCATTGGAAATTAAGATAAATATTATTTATGCCTAGGAATGGGCGGTCCTCTTCTTCCGCTAGGTCATCAGTACGGACGATTGAGTCTATCTAGTCAGTAGTTGAACTGGGTTTGTTTTTTGTGGGTATTACAGTTACCTTTAGTGCACCACTAAGTTCAGATTTCTTTGTCAGCATGCTCCTGCTACCCTATGCTTAGTGTGAAGCCTGAAGTGCTGCCTGCCTGCAGCATGGAGGGCTTAACTCTCTATGCTGTTGCTCTTCTTCCAATGGCAAGTTGCTGATGCTTCTTACTTAGCGCAAGGCATAGGACGGCGTTTGGGATTCTCTTGCCGTATCCTTAATCTTAGGCAGTCCTATACTCAGCATTTAAGAATTTGAAAGTTGTTTTCTTCCTACTTGCTTTATGGCTACTACCTCTTCCTACTACACTCTGCAAAAGAAGAAACAATTTGAGTGTCCTGTCTCACTTTGGCGAGGCTTACCACCCTTTGGAATTAATTTCACGTCTTGGCATCAACTCTTCTGCCTCAAAGTATATGAGAGAATGATTTAGGTAAAAAGGTGACTTTCTGGAGTAGTTTTTTTTTTTTCAGTGCCTATACCAATTTCTTTAGTAAGCTGAGAAGAAAAGTACCACACCTTGTCTATTTGAATAAATCTAGCTTATTTTCCCTCTCCTTAAGGTGATAAACACGAAACAACTTGGCACCTAATTTTACATCTTGGTTGTGATAATGATTTCTAAAAATTACCTGCTCTGGTCTGCTTTTATACCAGACACGTTTGAAAAAATAATCTTATATAACAATGATTTTATGCCTTTGGATTGTCTATCTCAATAGTAAATAAATAAACACTTCAGAAGAACTCTTTATTTTGTTTTATTGGCCTGGAATGTTACATAAAGAGACTTGCTTTTGGTTGATATTATACAAGTTGTTTAATATATGCAGATAACTACTTTGATTTCTTTTATGTTTCAGGTATTGGTGGTAATTTGGTGGCCATTCAGGCTAGTAGGATTTCTACCTACCTCCATTTACATAGCATTCCAGGAGAATTGCCTGATGAACCCAAAGGTTGTTATTACCCATTTAGAACTTTTTTTGGTCCAGGTACGTGCTTGTGGATTTTTGCATGTTTTATATCAGGAACTATTGCTCAGATTATAGGCAGGCAACATTTATTGAATACGTATTTTGTTTGCGTTCACCACTATTCTATTTCTGAGAGCTAATCTCAGTGAGTGAACAGATAGTCATTTGTATCAATTCTGCCGTTGCTGAGAATCTTTGTATAATTTTTCTTTTTTATTCCTCTTTCTGGGATATCTGGTTATTAGTCATGAAAGAGGAACCTTATACACATAAAAAAAAGCATTGCTAGGTGATTTAGGGAGACAGGTGTACTGTCTTTCCTATATTAATTATTTTGGAGTTTCTAAATGTAGGGATTTGATCTCAAACAGACAGAATGAGCAGGGTAACCTCAGTTATAAGAAACAGTGCATTACTTATGTGATTATGAAAAAACTAAGGCATGTGATTAGGAAAAAGACCACAGTGTTAAACCTCACAATTCTTATCATTTCTTTTCCTGATGAAAATAAATGTGACTATTGACTTTTGAATGAAGATCAAAAATGCCTAGATTTGTAATACCAGTGGTAGAACTCTAAAGGAATAAATAAAATTAAAACATTCTAGTACTTTAAGGACTTTATATTTTCTCTTTTGTCTTCTCTCTGTTTTTATGATAGATATTAAAGTTTCACCAATGTTCTTCATAACAAGTTTTTATCAACCACCTTTCATTTAACATATATTGTGGGAATTTTAAAGGATTAAATGAATTGTAACTAGTTGAAATTTATTTTTAGCAACTGAATTTTATGTGGATAGTATGAAGTGTAACTACAAAGTAATCCTCAAATTTTAATAACTGTGACCTATTGCTAACCAAAATATGATTTTGTTTTAATGACTTTTACATTTTATATTACAGGAGTAAATAATAAGTCCGCCCAAGTGCTACTGCTTTTAGTGATTCCTGGACATTTAATTTTCCTCTACACTATTCATTTGATGAAAAGTGGTCATACTTCTTTGACTATAATCTTCATAGTAGTATACTTATTTGCTGCTGTGTTACAGGTAAGAATTAAAACTTCTTGAAATCTCTTTTATGCTCAAGCTGTTATAAAAGTATAACTATGTAAATCTAAAAACACATACCATATTTTACCATTTCAAAAATCAACTGAATACCTTCATATTGATTTGATCCTCTTAAAACTCATAAAGCTCAGGACCACTTCTAACACGATCTGGTATATAAAACCTTCGGATTTCCTGTTTCCTAGATTCCATGTCTTCCCTCGTTTGGTTCTCTTGTTTTGCATTAACACATCTTCCAATAGATTCCAGAGAAAAAGAGGGCATGGTAGTAAATTTTTGAGCCTTTGCATGTTATAAAATACTTTATTCCACCCTATCAATAGGTTGATTGGATACAGAATTGTTTCTTTTAGAATTTTGAAGGCATTGCTTCATTTTCTCCTATTACTATTGAAAACAGGCACATTTCTTGCTCCTGATCCCATTGTATATAACTCCTTTTATCTCCCAGAAGCTTGCAAAATCTTATCTTTTTATTTATTGTTCTTAAAATTTCATCTTGATATACCTTGGGAGTTCTTAAATTTCATGCTGATGTACCCCGGTATGGGTGTATCTTGTCTGTTTTGTTTGATCCTTTCAATCTAAAAATTCATGTTCTTCAGTACTAGGGAAATTTCTTAGATATTTTCTTTGATGATTTTTCTATTTTCTCCCTTCTTTCTTTCTGGAATCTTATTATTTGATTCCTGGAACTCTTGCATTACATTTCTTATCTTTTCCTATTCTCTTTTTTCCTCTTCTTTCTAGGAGATGTCCATGTCTTTCTAAGCGTTTTCTTTGTTGTGTTACTGATGTTTTTGGAGAGAGTAGAATATTCAACTTGCTATCCTTATGTGGAAGGCTTTTAATTTAAAATTTAAGAAAATTTCTTTTACTTTCAAAATGTGTGATCAATATAATACATGTACAAAATTTTTAAATTAAATAGTACTAAAAGGTTCTACCTTTTCAATCCCATTCCTCAGAGATAATAATCACTTTGAAATATTTCAGGTGTTTCTTCTGGATTTACCTATAACTTTTAACATAATGTGTCTAAACTCCTAGTTTATTATTAATCTCTTTTAGACTTTTGCTGATAAAAGTTGAGGATTTGGAGGCTGCTATAATGTTCCATCTTTCCCATATAGTTATATCACAATTTTTTTGTTAAATTAGTCATTGGTGTTTGTATTATTAGGCCTTTGTAAACATTGTTTGTTATAGAGTCAGATAATTTACTATGACTATATTTACTCTTTTTTTGTGTGTTTTTTCTTGGGGTTAATAATCACATCCTTTTACATGGCATCATTTTCCATAAGCCCATCTTTAATTTTTTCCAACTGTTCCAGTTTTATTTTGTCTTCTTGGGCATAGCTTCTTGCTAAACTCTGTAAATTTGGTACTTTCTACAGTGAGAAACCCTAATCCCTTAAGAGATGGATTCAAATAATTCTTTGAAGAGATAGCATTTGCATTGATTTTGAGGAGTTTTGCATATAGGAATGAGGCTAGAGGATAGGTATATGGACATTGTTCCATTAAAAAAATTGCATTGATGATAATGATGGTAATGAAATTAGCTGGCATTTATAGCGTTTCCTGTATGCCAGGCCACTGCCTAAGTGCTTTACATTTATTGATTCACTTAATTCTCACAAAATTCTATGAGACTTGTTCTATTGATGTAAATCAGTGATTTTCAAAGTTAGAGTACGTGCAAAACAATGCATTGTATGTAGGAAGAAAAGATTAAAACTTCATTTGTTTAAAATATCTATCTTCTTCTGTTTTTATGTTTGCTTACTAATAAACATAAGCACAGTATTAAGTATGCTTAAATATTTTATACTGAGAGAGCTGCATAATCTAAAACTTTTGGAGATTATTGAGTTAAAACATAGAGACTAGAAAACAGCTATGTCAGAGAAAGTAGTTCATATATAGGATCTAACTAAGAGGAGGGAGTAGATGAGATAAGGTTGAGAAGGTCGAGTAGGACTGGTGTACAAAGGCCTTAAATGCCAGGTAAAGGGGATTAGAACCTATTCTTCAAATAACAAAACCCTTATATTGTTTTATGGTGCCTTAGATTTTATTAAAAGTCACCTATCAAATCATTTATTCATGCCAGTCATGGTGGCTCACACCTATAATCCCAGCCACTTGGGAGGCTGAGGCAGAAGGATCCCTTGAGGCCAGGAGTTCAAGATCAGCCTGGGCAAAATAGTGAAAATTTTTTTTTAATTAGCCAGGCACAGTGGTGCCTTCCTGTAGTCCCAGCTACTTGGAAGGTTGAGGCGGAGGGTCCCTTGAGCCCAGGAGTTGAAGCATGCCATTGTACTTCAGCCTGGGTGGCAGAGCGAGACCCTATCTTTTAAAAAAAATTCATTCATTTATTTGTTCACTAAACCTTCATTCTACTAGATGCAGAGATAGCTTTTAAGTCCCAAGAGGAATAAATTCAGAACCTATCTATACTCAAGGACTTGTAGTCTGGAGGGAAGACTACTACATGAACAAAGAATTATAATGTAATATAATATAAATGCTGGGTATAGCTATGTATAAAGTGCTTTCAGAGCTTGAAAGAAAAAGCAACTAACTACTTCAGGAATAATATTTTTCTACTGTCCAGGAGTGACAAAAGTTATATCAAATGCTTTTTTATTGCCATAAAAAACCGGCTACTTTTATTGCCATATATAATATGATCATTATCATTTATGTTTGATGCTGTTCTCTGTGTATTATGAAAAAGATGCAGTCTTCACTCCCCTGGGAAATATTCAGAGACTAGTCTTTGGACTGCTGATAAACACACCATTTCTAGAGCATGTTCCTGTTTGTAACTCTACCTCAGCCTCACGGATTGATTTGATGTTTATGTTTGTGGTTCTCTGCCAACATACTATCATGCATCATTTCATTTAAATCAATGAAGGATATAAATAATTTTTATGAGTTTATAAAAAATTGGATTTCAACCTATATTAACAGTATACCTCCGTACCATTTTTAAACCTCTGACCTAAATTCCTTCCAGTGAAGGTTGAAAAACTGGAGTTAAGACTAATTATTAGTCTCTCTGTGTCTTAGTTACTCCCTCTGTAAAATGGACAGAATTATATTATCTACTTCATAGGCTGTTTTGAGGATTAATTGAGTTACTTGTATAAAGTTTGCTACATAGTAAATGTTAGCAGATGCTATTGTTGTTGCTATTAAACATTGAATTATACAGGGTATGCCATTGATCTCTGAATGACAACTGGAAAATATTTTTTCTTTGTCTTACAGTGTTGGCTGAATTTTCTTGTGTCTTTTACAACTTTCATTTTTATAGGTTTTACTTTTTATTTTATCCCCAAGAATCAGATCTCTGCCAGAGTAGATCTTTGCATTTGCAGCCTCACATTGTACATTATTCCAATGGAATACTTAGAATCAGATTGTAAATTCTCAGATCAAATCCTCATGCTCTGACATTAACATACACAAACATACACACAAGCATATGCACACACACCTCTTTGAGGTTTAGTTAAAAGATCTTGACCTTCCCCAGCCTGCTCTCACCAGTTCAAAGATGGACAGAATGAAGAAATCACTATCAGAGACAAAGCATCTTTGACCACTTAAGACTTACCTTTTAATGTACTTTACTTGATTGGCTTCCTTTTTTGATCTGGATTAAATTTATATTCAAAGCCTCGGTCCTAGCTCTTACTCACATTTTTTCAGTCCACACTTCTCTTCTCATCCCTAAACTCTACAATTTGATATGAATGTTAAACAGTAAGGTTTTCT